TATTCAAGATAAAAGAATACCATCTTCTTCATGTTATTACATTGATGGACCAGGTGGATCCGGAAAAACTTTGTTTATACAACTTTATACCATTTGTTAAGAAGTAAAGGAAAATGTGTTTGTACTATGGCATTTACAGGCATTGCCGCAATATTACTTCCCCGTGGTAAAACTGTACATAAAACATTTGGGATGCCTGTTCCATTGTTCTATGATTCTACATCAAATATTAAAAGTCAATCTAAGGAAGCTACATTTTTGAAAGAGGTTGATGTCTTTATTTGGGATGAAGCTCCAATGGCGCCAAGATATGCTATGGAATTAATTGATAGAACATTACGCGATTTTATGAATGTTGATATGCCATTTAGTGGAAAAACTATGCTTTTGGGTGGTGATTTTAGACAATTATTGCCTGTTAAAGTTAATGCTACTAGAAGCAAATTAGTTAATTTATCTATTAAATCTAGCACATTATGGAGTCATTTTAAGGTGATATCATTAACAGAAAATATGAGAACTTTACCTGGTAAAAAAGAATTTTCAGAATATTTATTATCAGTTGGAAATGGTACTTTAAATGATAATGATAATAATATACTAGCACCAGAGCAATGTGTAGAAAATGGTGATATCATTCATAAAATATTTGGAGAATTAATTATCAATAATAAAAACGATGATTTAGCAAAAGTAGCAATATTGTCTGCTCGAAATGTTGATGTTGATGAAATTAACAACAAGGTACTCGAACTGTTTGATAATAAAAGTGAGCGAATTTATACAAGTGTTGATAGTACCGAAAATTGTGATAATGGAAGTATAAATGATGCTATTTTACCAGAGTATTTGAATACTTTAAATCCATCAAATTTCCCGCCTTATGAATTACGATTAAGAGCCAATTGTATTGACATGCTACTTCGAAATCTTAGTATTAATGAAGGTTTATGTAATGGAACGCGAATGCAGTTATTAGAACTATCAAACAATCTGCTACGTTGTCGTATTTTAACAGGTGATAAGGTTGGAGATATTGTATTTATAAATCGTATTACGCTGTATTGTGAGGATATTTATCCTTTTACTTTCAAACGACGGCAATTTCCTATAAAATTAGCATTCGCAATAACAATAAATAAAAGCCAAGGACAAACTTTTGACAAGATTGGTGTAGACCTTCGTAAAAATGTATTTAATCATGGGCAAGTATATGTTGCATTTTTACGAGTTAAATCTTGGAAATCATTAATTATATATTTAGGAAATCAAAGACCTAATTTACTAATCAAGAATTATGTTTACACTGAATTATTGAAATAAAAGTAAATATTTTTTCTATAAAAATGTCTGAGTCGTTATATATTTTTTTTCTTAAAAAAGGAGTGTGTCTCACTATGGCTGTCTTTACGCGTAAGACTTTCTTCGACGCTTCTTATTGGTAAATTACGTCATTTTTTTGTAATAAGATTCACACGTAAGATTTCTTTACACGTTTCTTTCTTATCAATTGGTCAAAGACGTTTTAATTTCCTAATTTCAAATAATAGTTCAAACTTCAGATAATTAAGACACTTATTTGTACGTATTTTAATGTACTGCCAACCAGTTCATCCAAATGAACTTTGAAAAAAGTTTAAAGATAATATTTCTCAAGATTATTAACGAAATTTTGCATCCCATGAATCTTATAGAAAAGCATATATTGAAATAAATTATTTTCTTCGAAATGACGGAGTACTTACATTTTTTGTATAATATTTACAGAAACCACACTTATATTTCTTTTTTATAGCAAAAGTAGGAACGATTTTAAGAAACAATAGTAAATTTTTAATTTAATATCCTCTGTTTATGGCTTTTTTTGACAGTAGAGATGTTTTTTTGCTAGCTAAGTGAAAAATAGTTAAAAATTGTTTATTTAGTAACGTTTTTCTTTCATCACTATTTTTTAAAATATAAATTTACTATGGAAGATTTTAAATGTTACAAAATTTAATTAACAAATAGATTACTTTGATTATAAAAAGGTTTTCTATAACTTCATCGTACAAAACTTTTTATAAAATGTGCTATTCTTGAAATATACGCTTTTCTTTAAGCAAAGAAAAGTGTTGTTTTTTTTATCAAAACCATAAACTTTAGAAATGATACATTTAGAAACAGATAAAAACAGAACTAGAATTGTAAAGGTATAAAAAATTGTTTTACGCACAACATAGGCTATTATTTTATTAAATTGAATAATATTTAAAAATTCCTATTATTAGAAACTGTCACTCAAATTGATACCTTAACAAACAAAAGACTGTAATTTAAAGAATAAAAATGCAAGAGAAAAAACGCGCGCGCGGCAGCGCGCGATCGTTCTCGTATAGTAAAATATTATATATTTTGAGTAGTAAAATTTTTAGGCTTGCACAAGGGAGCACTAACGTGTAAGGAGAAAAGAGTATCAAACCCTACCATACCACCATATAGGCCTGTGCGGTAGGCCGAGTGACAAAGAGAAAGGAGGAGAGCCCGCAAAGTAATGTCCCCCACTCCTTTCCCCTTACTCGCTGACTATTGCCGTTTGCAGGCCTGTTTAACTACAAAAACCCCAATATTATATTAGGCCAGTCGGTGAGTGCAAAAAGTGCACATAAGTGCAACCTGAAAAGTCGAAGCAGTTTCTTGTAGTTTGAGGGCCCCAAATAAGTGCCCCATAGTTTGCACCACATTTCCGGTTGCGAAAAATGGTGTAAACAATCGCCAAAGTTCGAAAAACATGGTTTTTCGATGACTGATGCTTCCGGTTAAATGTTAGGGGAAAAAGTTGTGATTAAAAGTTATAGAGCTTGGAAATAGCTTTCAAATGATTGGTCGCAAGTTAAAAAAGCTTAATTAGTTTACTTGCAAATGAATTTAAACCATTAAAAATAGCACTTTTTTAATTGTTTAATAACTTTGTTAATAATTATCGAATTTGTTTCTAACTTCCCAGAAATATTTCCCGTGCGAGGCTGAATAAATCCCAAAAAAATTCAACTTGATCGGGTAAATAGTTTATGCATAATTTCATTTGTTAACTAAAAACATGTAATTTTTCAACGGAATTTCCCCACTTTTGGACCTGCGTATTTAGTTTTTTTTTCTTGGAAAGTACAATTAAGGAGTCTAACTTTAATTCCATTTAAATGGGAAATTGATTTTTTTTATTTAAGTGCATAATAATAGACGTTAAAAAGGGTATGTTTTTTTGACATAAACAAATGGAATAACACGGCTAATTTTCACTTTATTGATTTCGTGTAAAGGGCATTTGATTTCATTTGTTTTCACAAAAATTTTCCAAAAAGAAAATTCGATCTAACTTCAAGAGGTGAAGAGTTAACTTTTTTTTAAAAAAAAATTCCTGACAAGTTAATTATTAATGTTTTTTATTGACATTCGCACCACTTACAGTTTGATACATGGATTTTTTGAAAAAAAATAAACATAAGGTTTTGTGCACTTATTTTTAATTTATAACAAATAAAATAAATGTATCCATTTTTCAACCTCTGAATGGCGGAGTGGGGGTACTCGGAGGAGCGTGATTCTCGCCGCCACAACTGAATTCAGCCGTTCAAATTTGCAAAAATGGTCATAACTTCGTTAATTATTTACCGATTTTTATCTTTCTTTTTTTAATTTGGTGTATTTTTTTACGCTGAATCTAAAAATTATTTTATATGAGTTCAAATTACAATATTTTTAATAATAAAAAAGAAAATTTTTTTAACAACAAATTTTTAATTATTATTTATAATATTTGACAAAAAATTCTTTTCGTACATATAATTCCATTGAATTTAAAATAATATTATGACATAAAAAAATTAAAATTATTTACTTATAAGTGTGTAGCATAGTTGTATTGATAGTTGAACAGGCGTGCATATGTGAACCTGATGCTACACACTTATAAGTAAATAATTTTAATTTTTTTATGTCATAATATTATTTTAAATTCAATGGAATTATATGTGCGAAAAGAATTTTTTGTCAAATATGATAAATAATAATTAAAAATTTGTTGTTAAAAAAATTTTCTTTTTTATTATTAAGAATATTGTAATTTGAACTCATATAAAATCATTTTTGGATTCAGCGTAAAAAAATACACCAAATTAAAAAAAGAAAGATAAAAATCGGTAAATAATTAACGAAGTTATGACCATTTTTGCAAATTTGAACGGCTGAATTCAGTTGTGGCGGCGAGAATTACGCTCCTCTTCGCAAAAGTTAATAACCTATAATGATCGGTGAAAACTATTTTTGAACTTTAAATTAAAAAAAAATTATTTATTTTTTTCTTCAGTTTCCCCTAATGAAAAAAACAAGGAGGGGGCAATAAAACTATTATTTAAATTTAGGTGTTATTTATTTTCTAAATAATATTACTATAACGTGGATTACAAAATTATTTTTTCTACATTTATATTGATGACACAGATAACAGAATATGTTTTACTTTTTTTTGAAAAAAATATTTGAATTAATTTTTTAAAAATAAAAAAAAAATCTTGGAATGTCCAGAAAAATAAAATAAAACAGCCTTCATTTAATTAAATTAAAAGCGATGAAAAAATTTGCTTTTATAATTTAAAAAAAAATTTTTTTATAGGTTTGAAAACCTTCTTAAATTTAAAAATATTTTTTTAATATATTTAAAAATTTTTTTTTTGGTTTTAAAAACCATTTTTGTTAGTAATTTAAAAATCTTTTTTTTTTTAATTTTTAAATTTTTTTTATAGGTTTTAATAAACCTTCCTGGAAATTTTAAATTATTTTTTTTAATTATATTTAAAAATTTTTTATAGGTTTTCGAAACCTTATAAATTATAAATTGTTTTTACTGTTTTATTGGCATATTTAATGTTACATCAAATATAAAATTTAAATTTGAATTTTAATAAATATTTAAAAAGCAATTTTTTCATTGCTTTCAATTTTATTAAATGTAGGCTATTTTTTTTTATTTTTAATTTTTTTTTTATATTAAAATAATTAATTCAAATGTTTAGAAAAAAAAAGTAAAACATATTCTACTTATCTGTGTAATTTACATTTCTATTTTATTGAAATTTTTATTCAATTTCCGGCAATTTTTTTTTATAATTATTTCCTATTTGCCATAATGGTTTTTTTTTATATAAACTATTCTTTTCTTCATTTATTTCATCGATTCTATCCCCTATTTTCGTAATTTCTCGGAAGATTTCTTCTTTTTCCTCATTGTACGCCTTCAGTTCTGAAAAAAAAATTTTATTTTTTTTATAAATCCATTTTTTTAAATAAATTAATTCAATATATAGGGGAGAGTCGGTCAAACCGGCCAGGTGTCAATATCTTCGATATGGCGAAATTGTTAAAAGTGTTATTTAGAAATTTGAAATAACCATGTGTAGTACCTTATTTTTTTAATTTGACAATTTTTACTTTTGTTTGTGCAACGCTGGGAGCAAAAGTTTTTTTTTAGTTTTTTTCTACACTTTTACAAATTTTTTCTTTAGGAATTTTTGAGGAAATCTTGTAATATTTTCAAATATTAGGTCTTGGGTTTTGAAGGTACACACCTCAGGAATATTTACCAACAAAAACTTTGATGAATTTGCAAAGAGTTTCTTTTAAACAAATATTTATTCTCAAAATTAGCCTGTGAGGCAAAGCGGCCATAGGATATTTTCATTGCATTAGAGTTTCAAAAAGATTATTATTAATTAGAATGTTTTTTTCATTAAAATATTTACTTTCAATGACAAATAATTATCTTCCACTGAGAATTAGACCCTTTAATATTGTTTTCCTGATAATTTTAAACATTTTTGTTTTGTTATTAAAAAAAATTATTTATTTAATTAAAATTCAATCCGTACTATTATTTACAGTCTTACAACCATTGTTCACATGATTCTTATGTTTGTTGTTATTGTAGATTATACAAATGCAATATTGTAGATAAAAAACCAAACTGACCGGTTTGCCCCGTGGGGTGGCCGGTTTACCCAAGGGGGTGGGGCAAACCGGCCTGTTTGCAAATTTTTTTAAAGTTGACACAGCAACTAAACAATAAAAGATAAAATTTAGAAATTTCTGTTAATATTTACCGTCCTGCCACCTGAAACTGTGAGCAAAGTACATTCTGGCAGTTTTTACCGTGCTGCCTCTATAATTTTGCATTACAGATTGTAGAGGCAGCACGGTAAAAACTGCCAGAATGTACTTTTCTCACAGTTTCAGGTGGCAGCACGGTAAATATTAACAGAAATTTCTATCCGTGAAGCCATCGAAAAATGAAATCGGTTGATTCGTTTAGTCACAAGAGTCAAAAAACCGTTAGGGGGTTCGGTTTGCCCCACTCTCCCCTATATTAGTATTTCTATTTTATAATTTTTTGAAAAATCAATATACTTACTTTCTAAAAACTGGTCATTTTTTTTTTTTGATATAGGAGAAGGATTTTTCCTCTTCTTTTTCTTTTCTTCGAATTCTGAAAATATTAAAAAAGTTTATTAATATATATTATAAGTGCCTTACACTGAGAAAACTACTTATTTGATTCAAACATATTTTGTTTAAATCAAACTAAAAATATCTTTGCTATACAGTCAAACATATTTAAGTTTATTTGAAATATATCTTTTAGTTCATTTAAACAAATAATATATTTATAATTCAAATATAAGATATGGTTGATTTAACATTATTTATAATCAACTTTAAGTTTCAATAAAACATAAAATTTATAAACATAATTTTTGTTTAAATCAAAACAGAAAGCAGGAGATATTTTCTATATATTGGAATGAAGCTTAGAAACTAATTTCAATTAAACAAAATCACTTAAAATTATTATTATTTATAAAAAGAATGAATTTTGTTAAGAATTTTATTAAAATTCCTCAAAATAATTTATTTATTGGGTACAATTTTATTGAAATCTAAAAAAAGAATTGAATTATTTTAAAAAATTTAATTAACACCTTCCCTGTTTGACAAAATACTCATATATAAGTGGCCCAAAATGTCCAGCAAAATCGGGCCGATGAATTTTTATGAAACTTAGTATACAAGGGTTTTTTGGGGTCGCCAAATTGAATTATAACCTCAAAAAAAATTCAATATGGCGGATAAAATTTTTCAATTTCTAACAGAATATATTTATAATAATTAGTATGCAAGGGTTTCTGAGGTCGCTGAATTCAAATATATACGTCATAAAAAATTAAAAATGTCTGAACCAATATGGTGGACAATAAAAAAATATAAATTTTTTTTTTAAAAATGGAATGTGAAACCTTTGCAGCCTCCACTCGTCTCATTCTGGGGTCATGATTCGTTTCATTAGCTAATTCAAAGGATATAAAATAAAATACAAAATTTGATAAAAATTTGAATAAATTAAAAAAATTACGTCCCTTATTATTAATTCAACATTTTGTAGTTTTTATTTTGAAAGTCAAATTTAATACACATAATTGCAAAAAATCAATTAGTTGAAAAAAATACAATTCTGCTAATTATATTTAACTATGTTCAAAATTTGAAAAAAATTCTCGTAAAAATCTTCAATAATTTAAAAAAATTTTATAAAATTCTTCGAATAAATTAAATTAGTTTAAAAAATTTGGAAAAAATTTTCGGCAAAAATTTCAATTATTTTCATAAATAATAAATTTTTTTTAAGGAATTAAATTATTTTTATAAATAATAATTTAAAATTCTAGAAAAGAATAATTGAATTAAAATGATAAAAATAATTTTTATGAAGTTACAGTAACAATATTCTTATAATGTAAAATAATGATTTTATCTCGGTCATTTGTAATTATTAGAAAAAACGAAGAAATCGATCACTCTGAGTTTGAATTTTGAATTTTTGAATGTCCTGAAACGGTATTTCAATAGTCAAAATTAAAAATTTAATAATTATAAATAAATTAATATAATTAAATTTTGTAGATGAAAAAAAGTATAATTCTGTTAAATTTAAAAGTATAGGAAATTCAAAATAAGGTCAATTGAGTACAAATGTACTGGGATAAACACCTAAATATGAAAAAGGCTCAGCTGACTCAAGGCCAAGGTTAGGAAAGAGAAAAGAAAATTTGATATTTCAAATTTATAAAATTAATTAGAAATTTGAATAAATATTAAAAGGATAAATTATTAAAAATTAACACAATGTTAATTTTCTATTTAAAATGTATATTTTGTTTTTTATAAATAATGTTAATTTTATTAATCAAATTATTTAATTATAATATGTTGGAATAAATAAAGTAAGGGTAAAATTTATATCAATAGATAGATAAAAATTAATAGATATTGTTAACAAAATATACAGTGATGAAAAGTTTATTATTTAAAGAATTATTTAAGTTTAAAGAAATAAAATAAATTCATAGAGAAAAGTGATTGACAGCTATACAATGGTATTGTTCTCGGGATACGTTAGACACGTTGGAGACTAGAGAGAGAGAAAATATAGTTCTGTCTCTACTCGAGGAATTTAAATATTATTAGGGCGACGAATATGACACGCTATGAATTTCCGTCAATAGAGAGAACGATAGCCTCGCGAAACGGAAGTCACGCGGATTTTTCCTATTAACCGGAAAGAAATAAGGACGGGTAGAAAATTCTAGAAGGTTCTAGAAGGTTCGGTAGCGTCCTTTGCAGGGTATATAAACAGCGAAATCAAAGGCTTCGCTCTCTCATTTCTATTCTGACACTCAAAAGGGTAAGCATGTACACTTATCATACAAAAACACTTAAGAATTTTATATACTTGTAATATTCAGGAGTTCGTTGTTTTTCAACTTCCAACCTGTTATTATAAGTTGTAATTATTACAATTACAAATACAATATTATAATCTGGAGATATTCAGGAGTTCGTTGTTTTTCAACTTCCAACCTGTTATTGAAAGTTATAATTATTAACATTTAACCCAAATACACTACAAATCGTAAAAATTATACAAGAATTTGTTGTTTTACAACTAATATCTTGTTAATTACAAAATTATCTTCAAAGTCAAGCCCTGGAATTTAAATTTGAGGAGCTCGTTGAATTCTTTTTAACTTTCAACCTCAGTTTTAATTCCTAAAGGGGTAACAAAAGCAAATCGTTTTTGATAATTTTCGATTTTTTACCAAAGGGTCGAGACTATTTAATAAGTAGGGTAAAGTGCGGATAGATGCCCCCCCAATTCGAAAATTACATCTAAATTCAACAAATATTAATATTTTTAATTGACTATTCGATTTTTACACACTATTACTATTTATCATTAACATATGTAAGGACCAAATACCTACAATAAATAATAAATTAATCAGAACGAAAATTCAAAAGGTCTGTATTTGGCCATATATCCCACCTGGGTGGGTAAGACGCCCCCCGCGGTAAGTTATTATCATTTATTACAACTATTATTATAAAAAATGGAAAACGTCGATCTAATATGTTTCTCTGATTAAATTGAAACAATTAAATAATTGAAAATATTTTCTAACATGTTAAATATCCTCGATTTTTGTAATGAGGAATTTTGTCCAGCAGTTTGAAAATTTTTGGACATTTTCAGCAATCTGAAATTTTTACATTATTATAACTAATAACCCCGGGGTGCCAGCAAGCTGGTACTTTACAGTAAAATTGTTATGGCCAATAGGTATAAAAAAAACTAATAATCCATAAATATAGTTTCTTTCATATTGGAGAACTGAGAAAGGGGGCATCTATCCGCACTTTTCCCTAAAGTATTTTCCAAGAGCCCAAAAATAATAAAGCTGAATCCCATAAAAGAGAGGAAAAAATGTTGAATTTTAAAAAATTCGGTTTTTTGAATTTTTGATAATTTTAGATATTTTACCAAAGATTCAAGACTATTTAATAAGTAAAGTGTTTTCAAAGAGCCCAAAAATAATGAAGCTAAATACTATCAAAGAGAAAAAAAACTGTTGAATTTTAAAAAAATTGGTTTTTCGAATTTTTGATAAATTTTGATAATTTTAGAATTTTTACCAAAGGGTGGAGACCATTAAATAAGTAAAGTGTTTTTAAAGAGCCCAAAAATATTAAAATTAGATTTAAAATTCTATTGGAATTTCGTAAAAATTTGACCTGGAAATCATGGAAAAGGTATGGAATTTTAAATTCGGATTTCTGTAGGAATCCTGAATAAGAGTAATTGACATTTAATATTTTTGTTCCTCACGTTCATTCCTACTGTACTACGCAAACGGTGCAACCTGATATAGTCGGCCATGACTATAGTCATGGCCGTATAGTCTCCACCCTTTGGTAAAAATTCTAAAATTATCAAAATTTATCATAAATTCGAAAAACCGATTTTTTTAAAATTCAACAGTATTTCTTCTCTTTGATAATATTTAGCTTCATTATTTTTTAGCTCTTGGAAAACACTTTACTTATTAAATAGTCTCGAATCTTTGGTAAAAAATCTAAAATTATCAAAAATTCAAAAATCCGAATTTCTTAAAATTCAACATTTTTTCCTCTCTTTTATGGAATTTAGCTTCATTATTTTTGGGCTCTTGGAAAATACTTTACTTATTTAATAGTCTCGACTCTTTGGTAAAAAATGTAAGGGAGAGTCTCCAGTTGTGAGACGGGTTTTATTTTTGACCCGTAAATTTTAAACGGGTAAACAAAATTGTAAATAAAATACACCGTTCGAAAGGTAACAGAAATACGCAACTTTTATTAAAAGAAAGTATAGTGTTTCGTTGAACTCAAAAAAATTTACGATACATTTTCCGAGCACATCGCTTTTTTCAAAAAAAAAAATGTCTCCAGTTGTGAGACACTCATTAAAAATTGCTAAAATTTAATAAGTTTGACATAAAACGTTATGTTTAGTAGAAATAATTAAATATATTAATATATATTATTATATACTAAATAATAATATTTATTCGCCAAAATATGACTATCAAATAAACACAATTTAATAGCTTCAACAAGAGCATTAAAATTGATTTCTTCTGAATCAATTGACTTTTTTCCACTTGACATGCCCAAAAATACTAGAAAAAAAATCAAAACAACATTTAAATAGTATGCCTGCAAAGTCGTATTTTTTATGCTGCCCAGATGGGTGACACCGTCTCACAACTGGTGATATGCTGTGTCTCACACTCAGAAATTGGCGCTATTTTGAAAAAGGAAAATTAAATTATTTTCAACCACAGATTGGAACAATGCAATATTGCATCACAAAATATAAGGAAAACCCTAAAAGAAAATGCATTACATTTACCTTTTCCAATTAATTAACTTGGAAAAAAAGAACTTTGCATTTATTGAAAAAACGCTTTTTAGTCGATTATCACCCTCAGTGTTAGTATTTAACAAAAACAGTTTATATATCCGCTTCGGTGTACACGAAAAAGTTGGCTCTTATAAAAAGAAATGTTTTTATATAAACCAATCGGCTTTTTAATATTGCATGTTAAAAAA